TATATATATATATATATATATATATATATATATATATATATATATATATATATATATATATATTTGAACCAAGTTTACTAGGAGAATAAGGAATTTCTGAAAATTCAGATTTACTTCCTTTATTTTAATGTGAGAAATACTAAGGTGCTTTTGAGTTTCTTTCTAGATTATTTAGAGAACAAAATGTGATGAATACTTGGGTACTCTTGGGTTTCTCTCTAGAGTGTAAGAAAAAACATATAATTTTTTTTATCTGAGATATGTATAATAGTTTTTATATTTGAGATAAGTCAACTGTATTGCAATTGATCTCACATATTGAATAATTAAGTTTTATAAAGTGAGATGTATCTAATCACATTAATCTTATATCGATTTTTTGGTATATTTATTATTATTCAATATGTATCCACATGCTTTCCTTTTGTTTTGCTTTATTTTTTTTTATTCCTAATAAGTGGTATGAGATTTAATAAGGATAATAAATTTATTCTTTATTGGAGTCACAAAAGAAGACAAAGATAATAAGTTTATTTATTTCTAGACAAAAAATATTTTGAAATGGTTGGAATTGTTAAGTATCAAGGATTACTAAAGCAAGCGTCAAAAATAAGAAATTATAATATGAGAAGGATTCAAGGAAGAAAACCTAAAAGTTATGGTTTGATTCTTATATAAAAATTTAATGTATCTTTTATGTTATATATATATATAGTCAAGATAAAGAGATATGTATATAAGACATTGACCTGTACAGATGTGCCATTGTGGATGTCCAATCTATAAACTATCATAAGTGGAGTTTCAATATCATCATTATGCTCCACCATTGGGACTATCTTCCCCCAAACATGAAGGAGATCACATGAGGGAGTATGAACCAGTGACCAAAATGAAATGTGGAAGGGGTAAATATCAACCAACTCTGGCTGAGGCACCACCGTCTTCCACTCTTGATTAAGGTCATCCCAAATGTCTACCCTTCCATCAAATGTCGCATAGAGTTGGTCCCTATAGAAGATAGCATCATCATAGAGACCAGGCAATGACATCGTCGCCCACTTGTTGTCATTAGATCTAGCAAAGGAGATGCCCCCATAGGGGCAATGGATGAGTGTAACGATGTAGTCTCCTTGTGAGGGGTCTGACGATAGCATGGCCTTGAAGTTGACCTTAGGAATCTCTTCGACCGGATGTTGGTTATGGAGGATGTTATTGATGGCGCCTCTTATATGCCCCCATGGGTCACGAAAGGGTACGATGTGATCGAGTGTGAGGATGAAAGGGATGTTGATCTGTGCACCATTGATGGGGTTCAATAGTCGCATCTTGAACCACTCATCGATGGTGATCAGCCACCCATGGGAGGAACCCACAAAGAGGCAATAACGAATCGGAGGTTGTGGGAGGGGGATTGTGTACACCTTCTGCTCTGAGAGGCTAAAGAAGTGGGCAGCGGAGGGGTCATCAGTGGCACTACCTATGTCGTCGCTGCTACCACTAAATGCGAGCCAAGGGCTTTGATGACGAAGCTTGGTGCAGTATCGACGAAGATCGCGGATGGTGCGTAACCATGCACCACATACAACGGTGCAACAGAGGAGATCATGTAGGGAGAGCTCAGAGAAGATGAGGTTTAGGACATCTTGGTGAAGATTGGACCAGTTGGCCATAATATGGTGAAGACAATGAGTGAAGACAAGGATTCACTGCTCTCCCTTTCTATATATTTATAATTTTCTCATTCCCAAGTCAACTCCAACACAAAATCAATAACCATGTAGAGGTTGACTTATATAGTGAGTTACTCTCATTTAGATAATATGCTAATATAGTATATCTATTAGGACCGGTAGAGGTTGCCTTATATAGTGAGTTACTCTCATTTAGATAATATGCTAATATAGTATATCTATTAGGTTGTTTAAAAATTTAACGTGGCATATTCAGGATGCATTGGTTAGAATCCATATGTCATGTTATAATTGACTAAATATAATGATTATATCATTTGCCCTTGTACCGGGGGTATAAGCTTATCTATCATAGAGCACAATATAGATTTTGGGACCTATTACTTATATTCTAAGATTATTAATGGTATTATTTCTTGTCCTATGCTAATATAGTAAGTAGAAGAGGATATTTTAGTCGTGTACGTCATATCAGATGTTTTTACATCATGTCAAGGTACCAAGAATGCTTTATTTGCATTTGCATTAGAAGATTTAGGTTTTTTTTTATCGAAAGCAAATACATCTCACATAAAGTAATAAATATACATACATACATATATATATATATATATATATATATATCGAAAGCATATACATATATATGTATATATATATACATATATATATATATATACATATATATGTATATATATATACATATATATATATATACATATATATATATATATGTATATATATATATATATGTATATATATATATACATATATATATATATACATACATATATATATATATAT